TTTTTTATGTTGCCGCCGAAAATGGAAACAAGTTTTGTTGGCAACGGCTTAACAGTCATAAAAATACTGCGGTTACCAACCCGCCTGCCAAGCGTGGCAATAATGGCAATTAAAAAAAAACAATGTTCAGCAGCAGACTTTTGTTTTGTATATAGTACAAGCGCACAGTCTACGTGATGGATACTGTGGCCAATAGAAAAATGCAGATGCGTTGTCTCCCCTGAGGTAATCCTCAAGAAGGAATCCCTGAACGTGTTGGCCTACCCCCATCGAGCCGACACATTCGTGCTACTCGTACAACCGTAATATAGCTGCAGCTGTATTTACTAACGTCTCTACTACATAAATCTGATGACAGGCTGTAATGATGGCTATGATGATTATATGACAGGAGTACTTTGTGTTTAACTAAAATATTTATTTTACACCAAACTTTTTATTTTCTTTAACTTTCTTTCTTTTCCTTCTTAACTCTCATAACGGACACCATTGGCAGGTGGATTGACGATCGCAGTGCCAAATTTTTTATTATAGGATAGGGTGACAAACAAGCACACAGTCCACCTGATGGTAAGTGGTTGCTGTAACCCATAGATATCTACATCTATCCTCTATTACTACGACCAAGATGAATACCTCTTTTCCAGTAAAATGGGTCTCGGGTTCTCTACGCTCACCATACGAAACAGAGCAGTTTCAAGCTGCTGTTTTACGCTGGTATTCTGTGAGAGCGTGGTCCTTCCCCGGTCGAGCCTACCCATTTGTGCTACAACTATACTAATAATATAGCTGCAGCATGGGTTTAACACGCAAAAAATGTCTCGTAATTATAAATTTTCTCACCATCACCGATTTAGCTATGACAGGTGATCATATACAAAATGATATATGGTCATCTTTTGGACACCATTGGGTCTTTCTGGTCTTTCCCATTTTTGCTTACGATATCCGCGGTGTAAAAATGATGCATTCTGTTACGCCACCACCATTGGTCATTTTTTTTTAACTTTAAATTTTACGACATTATGATTTAAACTACTTTGAAAAATTATATTAAAACAAATAGAATCAGGCGTTACTTTGCGGAAGTCCATTATATTAAAGTTGGCAAAATATTACTTCGCGTACATCCGCTCGATAAAATAAAATGATGTGTCTTACTTAGTTTGAAGAGCACCTCCCGGCCTCTCCCAGTTGCGTGCACTATCACCGTCACTGCTAACCCCAGCACCACTACTCCCGCTAAGCGGTCAGCCACCGCAGAGTCTAGATTACCTGAAGATGCCTCGTGTAGAGGCGAAACACGTGTCGTATTGTAGTCAGTGGTGTGTCTTTCCTAGTGTAGTGGAGTTGGGAGTTGGCGTTAAATAATTTTATTAATTTCAATATTAAAATATTAAAATTAATAAAATTATTTAACGCCTTCAAAATGAATTATTGCTACGAAATCAAATTGTCACATTTTAAGAAATGAAAGAGAAGAGGTAAAGGTTATAACATGTTCAGCCTTAAACAAATAGCCAATAATGTTAATCTATTAATGATTTAACAACGTTTTTTGACATAGTTTTGAGATTTTTGCGTCGTACAACTGATTAACAGATTTTCGTTTCTGGAGTTCCGAAATATCAAATCATCTAAAACGTGGACAAATGTGTTACAAGTTCTCGTTGGAGACACAAATTATTGTTCTTGTCATAGTATGGCGGCAGTCCAAATTATTATTAAAGCGGGCATGTTAAATCTATTAATAACTATAATCTGCTGGCCGGGACGTGAATAGTAATTTTTGATGCAGATAGGGGACGCAAATAATTTAATATAGTTTGCAATGACATTCTTGTAGAGTTCAATTTAAACTTGATTTGAATTATCAAACTTAAAACAGAATTATAGTTTTTTTACGCATGAATCTATCGCTGCTCTGGGTCTCCTCTCTCATAAAATACCAGCTGTAACAAAAATATTGAGGTTATTTCGTATGATGACGAGACGAGACGGAGATCTCTTTTTACAAGTAACAAGGCATTTGATAATATTTTCTTTATAGAATAAGGGGACACACGGCGGAAAAGTCCATGTGATGGTAAGTGGATACTGTTACCCATAGACACCTACATCTATCCTCGGTTAAGAATCAAAATGCAGATGTGTTGTCACTCCTGAGGACTAAAATGGAATACCTCTTTTTCAGTGAAAAGGGTCTCCGGTTCTCTACACTCACCATAAGGAAGACAACAGTATTAAGCGCTATTTCATGTTGGTATTCTGTGAGATCGTGGTACTACCCCGGTCGACTCGACCCATTTGTGCTACAACCATAATATAGCTGCAACATAGCTCTACCAGTATTTTTTCTCAGATGTGTTACACCATCTACATTTTCATAGATCATTTGCAAGGATTGTCGAAAAAACCCAACGCAACTTGATTTAGATAGTGAAAAAAAAACATGCATGGTTTTGAACATAGCGAAAAAAATATGTCATTTCGTCAAGATCGTCCTCGAGATGTTTTGGTAACATACACATTTTTACCACAAATTAACGGACGGCGACGACAAATACCTTTCATTGGACATTTTCTATAATAACACGTAATGCAAAACCTAATAAAAGTATCAGTCTTACTCATTAGTGTTTCCTCTGTACTTTTCTTCACGTACTAGTGCGACATATAAACAATAAACCCGATTTAATGTAAGTGGGTCCTTGCAAAGTTGATAATAAAGTTTAACCTCAAACGCGAAGCGGAAACGGCGTACGTTTTACTTTCTTACATGACTTTGACGACGAACTGACTGAATTTACTTAGATACATTAGACTTTAGTATCTTCACTTTGAGAAAACTTCTACTGTAACCTTGAAAGGTTGATCCTAACGTATTCTGGTCACGAACGCTCGCACTCGCTTCAAATCCCCAAAGTAATTGAATGGTTCGCTTGTAAAGCGTATTGAGAGGCGATTTCCTCTATAGCCTTCGGAATAGTCCCGCCTGCACTATTCTGCTGAAAAGTTTAACGGGCTTCAACGTTAAGGTATTAGGAGCTCAGTTAACAGTTTAGAGATAATGGTGCTCTGTAAGCGTAATAATGTTTATCGGTGCGGAAATACGAAACTATTCACGCTTGCAAAATAAAACGCATCAGATAACGATAAAAGTTAATTAAAATTACTCTCTACACTACAGTTGTAACACGAATGGGTCTGTACGACAAGGGAAGGATCATGCTATCACAGAATACCAGCGTAAAATAGCAGCTTATTGCTGCTGCGTTTCGTATGGTGAATGTAGAGAACCGGATACCCTTTTTACTGAAGGCATTCCATCTTAGATCTCAGCGGTGACTACGCATCTGCATTTTGATTCTTAATCAAAGATAAATGTAGAAGTTTATGGGCTACTGCATCCACTTACCATCAGGTAACTGGCTCGTTCGTCACCCTTGTTCTATAAAAAATATAATTCTTGTAAGAGACGCAGGAATTTGATGGTGGCATGGCTCGGGATTGTGCTTTGTGGCATTCCTTGTGCTCATCCCTATGTTCAGCAGTGGACTTGTGATGAGCTGTAAAAGTTGAAGTTAAGAAGTTACGATCTATATACGTTCTACTGCTGGGCACACGCCTCCCCATTTCTGAAATGGTTTTAGGGCATGGAAATGTTCACCGCGCTACCCCAATGCGTGTTGGCGTACTTCACATGTCTTAAAAAAAATTTTTTTACTTCTCCGACATGCAGGTTTCCTCATGATGTTTTCTTTCACCGCCGAACACTTGGTAAATCAGCATTTAAAATTCCAACTAACAATTTTATTGGTGCCGGCGGGGATCGAACCCGAGTTGCTTCCGATATTTTTCTCGTTTGTAAACCTTTTTAATTTTCTGCACATTTTTAACACTTTTTTTAATATTTCTATTTTATACTATAGTTTATTGTAGTTTGGTTTATTTGTTTTTAATCCAATTAATATAAAATATAACTAAGAGTAGAGAAAGAAACTTTAAAATTCACTACAAACTAACTTCCCCTCTATGAAATCTGTCAAAAATATTATACCTCATTTCTAATTAGGCCGCCTTGGTGGCATAAATGGTCGTGGAGCCGTCATCAGTACTCAGTCATGGATGGATCACTGCCGAACAACAGATCTTCAATCTACGTTTAGCCTGACATATACGTCAACAATTCGTCGCGTTAATTTAACCGATATCTTATATCCAAGTGACCAAAATAGATGAGTTCGTTGACTCGACTTCTCACGTCAGGTTGTATTTTAAACTAGAACATCCATTCATAAATATATTTTTTTTGTTTACTAAACGCAATAGTAAATTCAAAAAAATGGAACGTAAAATATTTCTAACGACATAAGGAAAATTGTCTTAATATTTTACTGAATTGAAGCTAGAAGCCTGTTCAGTATTTTACCAGTTATTTGACATTTATATTTTCATTTAAAATTAATCTTATACACAATTATATCATAAATTTTACTATATAAGCTTTGACTCTTAGTAAAATGTTTTGTTATAAATGAAGGAGCAAACGAGCTATTTGATAGTAATTGATCACCGTCACCCATGAACATTTACACCACTAGAGGAATCGCAGGTGCGTTGCCGGCATTTTAGAAAGGAGTATACTTTTTGAAGGTACCTAAGTGGTATCGGTCTAGAGAAAGCTCTGGCATTAGTAAATTTCACAATATGGTTCGTTTCGTTCGTTCAAAAAAAACTATAGTAGACCGCCAAACATCTTGACGATATAGATGAAATTTAATGAATAATATAAGACAATCCATCATGGTAATTTCAAGCTAAAAAATAAAGCCACGTTTCATATATTACAGACACAGTTGATTCTAACACTGATGATTCTAATTTAATTTTCTTTTGTTACAGATTCTCAGAGAACGATTGAAATGATCTACAATTCCTCTGGATAATGCTAGGCGAAGGTATCTAGTATCTCGTCCGCCATGTTGTTGATAGACAAAATGGCTTTACTAGCATTACTGCTATTACCGGCGGTTTCCGCCGCAGCCCTGTCGCCCGGGGATACGGACGCATGCAATCCAGACAAAATGACTGTTTACCGAATGGTCTTACACACGTATTGGACGAGGGAGAAATTTCCGAAACATTACCCGGATTGGAGACCTCCGGCCCAATGGTCACGGATTTATGGTGAGTCCTTTAATATAGCAATTCTTATTTCATATCACGAAAAGAAAGTTACAAAAATCTAAACAGTTTTATATTTAATGTATACTTTAACATACACATCCATTAAAAATTAATTTTAATGTGCATTATGACCTACTTGCGAAAAGAAACATCTTTTGAAAATATAGTGGAATCTTAAAATGTGGAGGAATGTTAAAATTTGGATTTCCAAAAATTCAACCAATTACCAAAACTTTCAAGTAAGGTCAAACATCGAATCGTAAAACTCTTTTCTATTTTAGAAAATAAAAGCCAAAGGCGTCAAATTTTTGGCAAGGAAATGGCTTAAATGAAATAATTTGACATCTATATTTACGCACAAAGGGATTTCTTGAGAGATTATCCATTGTTTTCCAACGCCCACGCCGCCGAATGGAATTGGGTCGGATTCGTCAGGCGATCCGCTCTCGACATCAAAGCGAAAATTGTAAATTGAAGGCATTAAGGAATCCTAAACAAGACAATTTTGGCGTTATACGATACGTTCATGTAACATTAAGTGTTACTATTTTGGTTTTTAAGGAATTTTCTCACGCCGGTAAAACGTCTTGTGTAAATGACAAATCAATTACGATTTTGCCTTGTGTCTCTTCTTCGGTTCGATATTTAATTCACAGAATATTCACGTAGTCATTAATTGCCACTGATTGCCTCATAGGGGGATTTTGCCATAAATGCCACGCTTGGTAGGCAGATAGGAGCAGATTTTTTTAAATTTTTTGTAGTTCTTATAAGCAAGAAGTTTCTGCCATCTCCTATTTCAGTTTCCCGCTGTTGTCTTTAATATCTTTACTTAACTAAGCCGACGGGATTATTGCAGTGGATATTCTTTCGCCGCCACTATACAGCGATACAAATAATATTTAGGATATATTTCTTCTTACCACACATAGCGGGAATAGTTTGAAGAACTCTTATTCATTATACTTAAAATTGAATTTTATATCTTGTAGCAATTAGAATTAATTATTGCAATATTGAATAAAACATAACAATGTGTTTAAATACACAATTTAGATTTAAAAAAGCCTAGTAACATAGATCGCTTAGTATGGAATCTCCTCATTTTTTCTATGATTGTATTTTGCGAATATGGTTGATATTTGGAATAAATTTATAAAATACAGGACCACAGAATATACATACATGAGATCAAAACTACGAATTTTAAACTAAATGGGATATAGAAAGTTAGTAAGATAGTTTTAGTATGCAGACAAGGTGAGGGTTCAAATCATCATGACAATTCTAATTAATCCACTAATATTGTTATTCTATTTTACATTTTTCCGTTTCTCCCAAATTATACCTTAAAAAATCTGGGAAAAAAATGTATATAGGTAACAAGATTTTTCGATGGCTCTGTGGTGCAGTGGTATAGCGTAATGTTGCAGCAAGGAAGGCTGCAGTTTTAATTCCAGCACGCAATAAGTATTTTTGTGCCTTATAAACAATAGATCCGGATAGAGATGGGTGTCCTTGTAGAATGTGTTTAAATTGCCTCCATGATATAAAAGAAAATCCTAGTGTGAGGTTAACGTCTTTTAAATAAGAAACAAATAATATTTGTTCAAGGAGAATCATCAGAATTAATTAATTTTTAAGTAATGCTTCTAACATTTTTCAGCAGAAATGTCAAAATCCCAAATTGTCATATTGCTGTCCTTATTTGCTATCAAAAAAACTTAAGCATACACTAGACACATGTTTTTCAAATATTAGCATTTCCAAAAATATTTTTGTTTTTGAAGCATTCACATTGCGACTATTTTCCCCAAAACGTTTGTTATTTACAAAATAACATCAATTTATTGTAATCAATGATATTCCAATATTATGGTGCATACGTATTCGTAATCTGATCAAATCGATCTGTTACCGGACTTTTCTATCTATTATCTCCTTTCCTTCTATCTATAAACTTCTTTTTCTGAGTTGTTAGAAATCACCATGTTTTGTTCTCGTGAATTTGAGATAGTAATACTACGTCTATGAAATGCTTTAATTACTATATTAGACCTAGCAACACTGTTGAGAATACATGACTAAAAAACTTGATCGATTTTCCCACCTTTAAAACAGAAAATTTTAAAATAAAACCGCTCCTTAAGAATTAAACGCCTAGTAACTATGGTAGGACAAAGATAAAAGTCTATAAAATGAACTACATCTATTTCATTATATCACAACAACAGTTGCTGTGTCACAGGAGTGTCCGATTGATTACTCACACTTCGGCTTGGCTTCGCTTCAATTTCCTACGAGCCGTTTCTGCCACAGACGATGATCTATTCTATCTTTAGAGCATGACTAATATATTTAGTTCGTTAAAAGTATAGATAAATTATATGCAAATACCGCAGAAGTATGTGCAATTTTTGACGAGCATATTTTAAATTTAGAAACCATTCAAATCTAAAATTTATACACTCAATTTTTCACATATTTATTTTTTTAGCAGACTCAAAAAAGGAGTTGGTTTATAATTCGACTGTATGTATTTATCTGTATTTTACGCAATATCTTCGTTAACTTTGAACTGATTGTGGGAATTTTTCTTTATGAACTAGTTTATCCTTTAAGAATGGTACCATATAAATTTGAAAAAAGAAACTCTACCCATAAGAATATCAAAAACAGCATGAAGTTTTAATGTAACTAATTCGACAACCTTGTGATATTTTGACATTACCTCATCCACTTAAAAGGGTAAAAAATAACTTTCAATAAAACGTTAAAAAGAACAAAATGGCTTCGTATTCTAAATTCGGGGATTTAATTTTTCTAAGCACTATGTTGTCTTTGCACCGAATAAAGAATATAAAGTTAAGTTATTCTTAGTACTTTCTCAAATTGTCGGCTTTTACTTTTTATTAGAAATTTTTATTTCTCATCCCATTCACATAAAGATGTAAATGGCCAAGAACTAGAACTTATCACGCAGTTTTTTTTCTAAATTTTTCTATATATATTAAAACATAATTTTATTACCTAATATAATAAAATGTAGTGCACTGCAATGTATAAGTTATAAAAATAGTTATATATTATTATTTTCAAAATGCGAAGTCTACGGTACATAGATGTCTGATAAAAAACATAAATAAAGATAACATTCGAAATTTTATTACATTGTTATTTTTTTATAGGATAGGGTTACAAACGAGCACACAGTCCACTCGATGGTAAGTGGTTACTGTGACCCATAGACATCTACATCTATCCTCAATAAAGACTCAAAATGGAGATGTGTTGTCACCAGTGAGGACTAAGACGGAATGCCTCTTTTCCAGTAAAAAGGATCTCCGGTTCTCTACACTCACCATACGAAACACAGCAGCGTTGAGCTGCTATTTTACGCCGGTATTCTGTGAGAGTGTGGTCCTTCCCTGGTCGAGGCGACCCATTCGTGCTACAACCATACTACTAATATAGCTGCAGTATGGCTCTACCATGTATTTCGTTTCCTTTTCACATAATTGTAAAAAAATGTACTACTCATCAAAAGATGTTATTTAAAAAGTAGGTAACACTTTTTGAGGATAAAATTAAGCGATTTATTGACGGTCGAATCACAAAGACAAGAAGCAACAAAAAGTTAGTTTCCTTATCTATAAAGGACGATTGTTATTTCCCATGTATATACGATACGATCTAAATTAATGTCGTCGTTACATAGATTTTGCTATTTTTCTTTGAGAAAAGAAGTTAGGGGAGCCTTGTGTGGGGTAACAACAAGGTCGTTAGTTTGAGGTGCGCCTCGCCTTAATCGCTATCATTTGTTTGTGCACAATACGAACGTATGTAGGTAAACATATTGTATTGCCAATTTTTATAACCTACTAAGATTTGGCATATTGTTTTAACGTAAACTGCCCCATGTGCGTTGATGTTTTAAAAAAATATTCGCAATAATACATTTATTTATAAATGAATGATTATAAATAAATCCACATCTTATTTTTATAAGCGCTTAATGGGGTCAATAATCGTTATTATTACGACAGTGTACCAAGAATGTTAGCAGGTAAATATTTCCCCATTTTCCATAATTAATTTAAGACGCAATCAATTAACAAAAACTGGCTATTATTATATAACATTAACAAATATATGAATTTAAATAAACCAGAGCAATCAATTTATCGCTACTATGCTGATTCTGTTATTATATATAAATGGATTTTTTGCGTGCTCGTCGCGACCCCTGCCAGCCCTTTTCTGGGGGGTCATTGTAGAAGCGTGCTCGTCGCGACCCCTGCCAGCCCTTTTCAGGGCTGCAATTCTACTAGCTGCGCACCCATGCCAACGAGGGTTAGGGCGTCCCCCCAAGGCGACGCACACCAGCTCATCCCCGTTGGTGTGGAATGCAGCGTGCAAAGCGGCGATGGGGACCGCCACCCGTCACGCACAGCCCGACACGGCGGAAGGTGGAGGACAGAGTGCAGAGTTGGCACGTGGAATGTTAGAGGAGGCATGAGAGATAAGACGAATGAGTTGATCGAAATAATGAAAGAAAGAGAATTAGATGTCGTGTGTATGTCGGAGACCAAACGGAAAGGCAGTGGTACTGAAGAGCTCCCTGGCGGGGCGTTAGCTCTATGGTCAGGAGTCCCGGAGAGCGAGAACGCCTGCCAGGGAGTGGGGGTGCTGCTGTCTTCTCGGTTGGTCGATGTTATGACTGAATATAAGGTTGTGAACTCAAGACTTCTCTGGGTTCGCTTTAAATTGGGACTGACGAAGTTATTCCTATTGGCTGTTTATGCGCCGGTAGCTTCGTCGTCCAAGGCTGAGCTGGAGAAGTTTTGGGAGAATGTAAGAGAAGTTCTAGATTTGGCTAGGGGAAACGAAAGAATTGTTGTATGTGGTGATTTGAATGGATGGTTTGGTACCGCTCGACCAGGGTACGAGTCGGTACTTGGAAAGTTTCGCGATAAAAGGGTTAATGATGCTGGTAAGCT